CATGTCTGTGTTATGTGTAATAATAATGTGTAACGTTGCTGCCTTCTTGGCCAGGTCAGCATTGTAAATGAGATTTTATCTCAATGCTTTTATCTGGTTAAATACAAATAAAAATTACGGTTGGTACTAAAAATATTTTCCTAAAGTAGGTAATTGTATAGAAGACAAAAAAGACTTTGTTAAAAGGTGCTTTAGGTATTTGTGCTACCAGATTTAGTGTGATAAATGAAATCAGCTTCTATTTATTTTTTTAAATATAGTCAACACAGTCTCACTCCCTGATCGTCCAATAGCGACGCTTGGTCAGGGTCCTTTGGCATGCAGTTGTGACGCTCTGAGTCTCCTTCAGCTACATAAACGAGCGCAAAGAGCTTTCAAGTGATTGCAATGTATTCCCATCGGCGGCGGTATTTGACGCTCAGGGAAGCACCGCATCGGTCCATGTCGGCGGCAGTTAAAGGCAATGTGAGCGTCCTTTCCCATTGGATAACGGAGGATTTTACACCCGGAAGTAAGTATTCTCCTTACTGTCGATTGATTTTACAGTGATATCTGCACTACTCATCAACTCAAGAACACCAGATTATCCTTGTTAATTACACAACATTGATTGGTTTAAATTGTGTACAATGCTTTTGTATTTTTCCCCTTAGATTCGGAGAAACAAATATTTTTTCGGAGTTTAGGATGTCAGAAGACACTACACTACCCAGAATCCTCAGCTATCATTTGGGACAAAATGCATTTGCTACTGTTATATAATATTCACAATTTAACATCATTGCAATAACATTGCGTGCTATGAAGGCATAGAGGGCCACCTTTCTGCAGGTAGAGCTTTGCTGACAATCATCCCATGCACACTGCATTCAATCGTGCTGCTAATAAGTTATTAACATAAAGAAAAAGCCTAAAATCACTTTTTAAAAAGGCCATAAAATTACTTCTTAAACGCTGTGAAGCCTAACAATTATGTTAGCCTAAGGAGTCAAATCACAGGAAAAAACATACATAACAAACACATATCCAGTCACAAAACAAGTCATTATAAAAAGGCCTTACCTTCAGATGAGCTTCTTACTACAGACCATAGTGCAGGATTTAGTAAGTCTTTCCAGTCCGTTTAACTCTTAACCGGCTCCATGATAACTCTGCATTGTCTTGAAGTTAGAAATATTGTTGCTGGTGACAGGCACTGATATAGTTCAGACTCTCCGACGCCATTGTTGTGCCCTTCAAATTGCCGCCACGCCACCTTAGTCTCCTTATCATCAATCTCAATTTTAAATGTCGACTCCACTTTGCCGTTTGTCCATGGGCGTAGGAAGCATCCTGAATGTGGGGGGGACATTTTTAACGGGGGTGTGGGGGCGAAAAAAAATATAGATTTCCTGTATTCTGGTGCATTTTAACAGGTGGTTTGATACTTTTATGTGGCTATACTAGCATGAGGAAAATGATGGGTACATTTTGTAATTTCATCCAGTAGTAAAAAAAGGAAACATATTTGATTATTAATTCAGAGCTGTCTTTGAATTAATAAAAAGCAGTTTAAATGCCCATTTTTTGTACATTTATATACAACAATAAATATTTGTGAGTGCATTGAGAGATATTGTTGTGGAGAGTCATTTATATATAAATCGCAAAATACATTTGTGAATCCTTCTGTGAGCATGTATTAATATTGAGACTGATCTGACTCCATACGGATGTTAAGTTCACCTAGGAATGGTATCATTGACTTAAATGTTCAAATAAATGTTGCTCTTCTGTCTATATTGGTCATATGATGCCTCTTGACTGAAATGTTTCCTGTTCAAGATCCCCACTGATTTCCTTAAAATCCTGGGATGAGAGTCCACATCACAATTTACTCTCAACTGTCATTTCCCTTTCATCACTCACCTCAGCAATGGACCTCTCTCCACTGTCCCTGTATTCTGCCTCTGACTCACTCTCAAGCATGGGCGTCGCAGCCATTATATGAGGGTGGGACAAGTCCCCCCCACTTTTTCAAATGATTAGTTTGGACCCCCCCACTTTTACTATGCGGAAAGTCCGTGAATCGGTCTATCCACTCGCTGCACTTTGTCGAGCGCTGTGTCAGTGCTTCACTATCAAATGAAATCCATTCCACTTGCTTATTGAGAGAATGCCCAAATCAATGAAACTCCGTTCCATGTTTTCACTGCTACTTTGTACCAAGGCAGATTCTCACATAGCGCGCACATGTTCAAGGAGTGATGTCATAGTTGGACAGCTCAGATCTGTTGTATGAAGCGATGCCGGTCGCGGAGGTAAGGCACACACACCAAATGTTCAGGAAATGGTTAATACAGCGAAAATCAAAGCTGACGATCTCTTGGTTTGATATGTTTTCTCCCCCAGACAACATGGACATAAGAACATTTTTTTCAAAGAAGAGGAAAGTAAGTCATCAGCTGGTAGCAGTTAATCAGTTAACAGTGATGGCGGTGTCTCACTTCTGGAGAGGAGTTTCGTCTTTATGTCATGATAGAGAGATACAAATACTGAATAGTTTAGATGAGAAAAGGCATCGAAATGCCAGGTTACTAGTATTTATCAGTATTTATTATCACTTCACCACCTCTCTTGACATCTAGGCACTTGAGAGTGAGTCAGAGGCAGAATACAGGGACAGTGGAGAGAGGTCCATTGCTGAGGTGAGTGATGAAAGGGAAATGACAGTTGAGAGTAAATTGTGATGTGGACTCTCATCCCAGGATTTTAAGGAAATCAGTGGGGATCTTGAACAGGAAACATTTCAGTCAAGGGGCATCATATGACCAATATAGACAGAAGAGCAACATTTATTTGAACATTTAAGTCAATGATACCATTCCTAGGTGAACTTAACATCCGTGTGGAGTCAGATCAGTCTCAATATTAATAAATGCTCACAGAAGGATTCACAAATGTATTTTGCGATTTATATATAAATGACTCTCCACAACAATATCTCTCAATGCACTCACAAATATTTATTGTTGTATATAAATGTACAAAAAATGGGCATTTAAACTGCTTTTTATTAATTCAAAGACAGCTCTGAATTAATAATCAAATATGTTTCCTTTCTTTACTACTGAAATTACAAAATGTACCCATCATTTTCCTCATGCTAGTATAGCCACATAAAAGTATCAAACCACCTGTTAAAATGCACCAGAATACAGGAAATCTATATTTTTTTTCGCCCCCACACCCCCGTTAAAAATGTCCCCCCCACATTCAGGATGCTTCCTACGCCCATGCTCTCAAGTGCCTAGATGTCAAGAGAGGTGGTGAAGTGATAATAAATACTGATAAATACTAGTAACCTGGCATTTTGATGCCTTTTCTCATCTAAACTATTCAGTATTTGTATCTCTCTTTCATGACATAAAGACGAAACTCCTCTCCAGAAGTGAGACACCGCCATCACTGTTACCTGATTAACTACTACCAGCTGATGACTTACTTTCCTCTTATTTGAAATTTTTTTTCTTATGTCCATGTTGTCTGGGGGAGAAAACATATCAAACCAAGAGATCGTCAGCTTTGATTTTCGCTGTATTAACCATTTCCTGAACATTTGGTGTGTGTGCCTTACCTCCGCTACCGGCATCGCTTCATACAACAGATCTGAGCTGTCCAACTATGACATCACTCCTTGAACGTGCGCGCGCTATGTGAGAATCTGCCTTGGTACAAAGTAGCAGTGAAAACATGGAACGGAGTTTCATTGATTTGGGCATTCTCTCAATAAGCAAGTGGAATGGATTTCATTTGATAGTGAAGCACTGACACAGCGCTCGACAAAGTGCAGCGAGTGGATAGACCGATTCACGGACTTTCCGCATAGTAAAAGTGGGGGGGTCTAAACTAATCATTTGAAAAAGTGGGGGGGACTTGTCCCACCCTCATATAATGGCTGCGACGCCCATGCGTTTGTCCATATGTGTAAAACATCAGTTTTCCCGTTATAACAGTTACACATTTTGGTCGTGAAGTTAGGGCTCCCTCGGTGACCATCAACCATTGGTTGGCACTGGTAACTACCGTTATAGCAAACTTTGCCATGTAGCTTAACGTTAGCCATATTTGTAGCTCAATTAATCCCGGAACACTTTAATATAAAATAAGTCTAATATAAGACAAAAGTTTATAATACTGACCGCCGAATGGAAAATGAAGTCCTCAGCAACATTTCAATAATTTCCATTGAATGTTTCCATGTCAGGAACACAAAAAAAAACTCCAAAAGTTGGCAGGTAACTACACCAGCTAACTGAGATCCAAGATGGCGGATGACACCTTTCCATTTCTTCCTCCCTCTCTGAAAGGATCTAAGAGCTGCCCAGTTAAATAATTAAGTATCTGATTAAAGGAATATTACAAAAATCTTCTGTTATAACAAAAAACGCAGTAGTACCTGAGATTGACAGGTCAAGTAATCAACCTAAAAAAATAATAATTGGAGTTTGTTATTTTTTTAATTAAAATAAATCACCAATTACACTACATGTGCTGTGCATGTAGTGTATGTCCTTAGATTGCTGGTAGTGCCTTGTTAAGACTGATGCATGCCTCCGAAAGCTGCAAGCAGGAAAGCAAACTGTTTATTTGTTTGACAGCAGTGGGTTATCTAGATTAGAACAAATATGGTTTGAAGAAGAATATTTGAGATAAAACAGATATTATTTGGAAATTATTATTATTATTATTATTATGTACTTTTTTTTCCATCAAATGTTGAATTTAGGATTTTACAACGCCCTCAAGTTACTTGAAACGTTCAAATCACAAGTCATAAAACAATCCAAAACAGTTACCACTGGAATCTAATTTTACAAATAGTGAAATAATAATATAAATGTAGCCCAATCCTAATCTGCAACTGTGCAGAAATACCAAGGCGAGACCGAATAAATAGAGATTAATAAATAAAGACAAAAAGCCACACAGCATTTGAATGTGGATTTAGGTTTCAAATGTCAACGTTAGGAATTAGGCTTCAATATTTATTTAAAAGACCAGCCAGTGACAGAGGATTAGAGGCAGTAGTCATGTCCATTTACTGTCATTGCATACACTTTGATACAGAGAGATGGAACAACTCAAAAATGAGGATGAACAGAGAGAAAAACAAAAAAATACAAACGGCAAAATTCTCATCCCTTCACCTGAAATTATTATACAAACAAAAATAAAAACGCTTCTAAATCAAATAAGCAGCTGCACTTTTTCTTGAACATTAAATACAATTATTAGCTTTATACACCTAGCTCAACTGTTACTTAGGTTGGCACATTGATACACAAACGTCAACAAATTCAAAAGGTAATGAAAAGCTGATGAGCTGCTTTTGGTTCATCTCCTACAAATGATATCACAAGCTCTTCAAAGATGAAAATATGAGGGGAAACATTTACATTTTCAAATGAGCTCAATATTTAGATTATTATTAGATTTTGGATCAGTTTTATGGTGTTAATGCTCTGTCTTCAGTCTCTCAGCACAAGAACAATACAGTTAAAGATGTTGACTTTTGCTTAAAATATCAATAACATGTTCTCCTCCCTTCCATCTAAAAACATATTGAAGGATGGAGGAGGTCTGCTGATATTTTAAGTGTTTCTATTGTCAACAAATCCCATAAAAAGATCCAAACCATCAATGAGACATTGAGTTGAGAGCCACTATCAAAGTAATGAAAGAAAACTAACATGTTGGTTGTTGTTTTTTGGAATACAGAGTTTAAATAATCTGTTCTGTCATCAACAGCCAAATTAATAAACAAATCTGTGAATAAAGACACCACTGATGTTTTATTCTTAACTGAGTATTAGCTATGATTTAACAGACTTTACCGTGTCATATTTGACTTTGAATGGTACCATATCATGATGCAGACTTGATCCACAGATTGCGGGAAATCACATATTCTGTCAATTCTAAAATGGTTGGTGATTATATTACCAAATTAAAATCATACTCTTGCATAATCTCCAGCCGTTTGGGATTTACTTTGGTACCTCATTTGAAGTCTTATTTAATAATTAAACAGAGTTTAGACACATTACAATTTGTTAACATAAGAACACAAACAAATGTGTTATGTTATTGGGAAATTCAAGACACCTTTTTCCCTTTTTAACATTAGACCTGCAGATTTTTTGAGAGGAGCCGAGCATTTGGTGTCCTGAGCTACGTGACCCTGAACACACTTTCCTAATTTCCACCAGACTGAAAAGAAATAGCCCAAGCACTTCTCTGCAACTTCAACAAATAGAAGAAGTAAAATAAAATACAGCGTGCAGACACACAAACCCAACATATCCTATGTCAAAAACCAAAGAAATATGACACAAAACTACATGTTTTTAGAAAATGACAATAGAAATTAAAACTAGTAGAAATATTGACCGTAATCATCAGTTTACTTAACAGTTCTATGGCAGCGAGCGAGGGGAGATAACTTGTTGTATTAACTACAGAGCAGGTAGCACTTATTTCAGTGTGAAAACACTTTAAAGAGATAGTGTTAAAGTAGGGTTGTTTGAGGTATTTATCAATATTGAGTGGATAACTCACAGAAGATGGCGTATGGTACACTACCAGTTTGTGAAAGAAACAGAAGAACCGGCAGGAAGAGAAGCTAAGGGCTGCTGTCGGCAGGGGCAGCAGCTAAACGTATTCTAGCCACCTTAATACATCAATACCAGTTTAAGCGTAAGGCAACACGTCTGTCAGAAAGTGCTGTGCCGGGGTTTTAAAGCCATTATCTGGGCTCTCTTCCAAACTAAAAAAGTAATTTTACCTCATACAGCAAGAAGGTTGATGGTCTAATGCTGCCTTGATCAGTTGGGTTGTTTGTGATGTTGTGTGACTTTGGTGAATCTGAAATCAACCCTTAGAAACACCATAGTCACAAAATAACACAAACAAACTAACGGATAGACAGCAGGATAGAGTTGTACACATACTAAATATAGCATACACTCAGGCTGATATAGATTTTTTTCGAAGTTGTCCAAATGTTTATATTGTATTCATATGTTTGGCTGCTGCCCCTTCCACAGCAGTACATAGCTTAACCTGCTGCTGCTATTTATGTTTCTTTCACCAAACTGGGGGCTTAACATCCGCAGTAGGTTCTACACTGATTTCTGGTAAGTCCTTCATACAACCGCACCTTAAACAATAAAGAAGAACTATCTCTTAAAGGAGCACATACTGTTATGTTATATTGGCGTAACACTGGGATAAAACACAAGTAAGTGTTTCCCTGCTCGACCTCTTCCACACGTTGGACTGAAGGACGGTCTTTCACCAAACAGCCTCTGGCTTCTCGCCCTCGAACACACCACTGCCTTGTTAAGTTTTTTTAAAAAGCAGCAAATCGGTCAACTTCTGGAAAACGTTTAAACATACAGACGGGTTTAATTTGTACCCTTTGTCTGCTGCTTTAAAAATGATTACTTATTCTACAGAATAGTGAAACCTCCACCAGTAACAGATGCTGCGTCTCTACCTGCTGCTTATTTACAATAAAAAGGACAATAGGGTTAAATACAGGCTCTGCTGCACACCGCTCATACTTATCAGGAGCTAAAGGTTGTTTGTTGGACAAGACCAAGTTCATGTAGGTTCTCCTTTTCCTCCTCTTCTTCTTCTCCTGGTTGGGTTTGAGGCCGCTAGCATGCGGCTGCTATCTGAGCCTCACTGCGAGGATCCTGGAGGTCCTCACACGTTGGGGCAGCATCTGTTCTGGAAGAGCTGGTCCACCACCGAGGAGTCGGCCAGCGTGGAGATGTCGCCCAGGTCTCGTTCGTCACAAGCGATTTTGCGAAGCACCCGTCGCATGATCTTACCTGCAGAGAGGCAGAGAGGATGTATCTGTTTATGTAAAGCTGACTTAGAGCTTTATACTCTTTTTTGTTTGTTGACATTGGCTTTGTTAATTTGAAACCAACTACATTTAGTTATTTTTTCGGTTCAAACTTTGCTTCAGACAACCCGAACCGTAAGGACAAAAATGTCACCATTGAAACTCATTAAAACCACCATCTTTGATCCCACTGCCATCACAGCATGAAATCCCCTTTATATTATATCAGGCTCTCAATCTGGAGCCCTGGTTTCCACATTTTAGTTGTAGATTGATTTAATTTCATCATGGTTGCCATATACAGCAAATACATACTATTTTCTTTTTGGTTTTCTTGCACATAATAAAATGTAGAAAAATGTTTACAAGTCACTGATACTGCGGCATTATGTAACCAAACTGGCATTTAAAAGGTTAAAATCCCGCAAATGAATGAATATTTGAAGGAAAAAAACTGGATAATGTTAATATACAATATATAATCAAATAAATAAGGTCATTTTCTACGCTGTGATATTTTCGAACCAAGTTCTAGTCATATATGTTGTGTTTGAGGGACATTTTGGAGCAAATATCTCAAATATAAAAACCACAGAAATCTAAAACCCCTTACGGCAAGCAGGAAGTGAAAAGGAGGGTTTTCTTTATAACTTGAAATAACTCATCCTTTAAAACAGTAATGCAACAAGGGTTTAGTTGCATCTCAAAATATACTAGTGTGTTTCAGCAGTCAGGTTTTGCTCTGAATTTCCTCCTCTATGAGTTCAGCTAACAGCTAACTTTATTCTGACAATTACTCAACCAGCTCTCTGTAACTTTGGTAACTTTACCTGATCGGGTCTTGGGGAGGCCTGGAGCATTCTGGATGAAGTCTGGTGTAGCGATGGCACCGATCTTCTCCCGCACTGCGAACACAAAAGACAAAATCAAATCAGATTTGGACTATCAATAGTGAGTAGAGAAGTACAAATGCATAAAAAGAAAGATATCTCAAGCAGAACTATATACAATACATTTGTCAGAAATTGTTTTGGAAACCTTCATTGAAGCACTTTTCTGAATAAAAAACATAGATAGCGCCCTCTGCTGTTCATAAAAAGCTACAATGATTATGTTTTATTTTACTGTCTTTATATGTTTGCATTGCTATTGAACTGCTTCTCAATAAATAGTTACATTCCTTTCAGATCTTTCTGCCTGACGAGGATACAATTAAAAAAAAAAACTTGTATGCGCCGTTCCCTGACCAGGCTGTGTTTACCGACCTTGTCTTTTGAGGTCGGCCTCCAGCGTGCGGTTGAACGTCAGTCCATCAGTCAGAGTTACGAAGCAGTAGAGGCTTTCTCCTTTCACAGGATGAGGTCTGCCCACCACCGCAGCCTCGGCAACGGCCTCGTGCTCCACCAGAGCCGACTCCACCTCCGCTGTACTCAATAAGTGACCTGCAGGGAAAGAGAGGAGCAAAGGGAGGTGTTTAACGAATCTTGGCTTTTAGATATTCCCAATTTATCACAGAGGGCTCAGTGGGCGGTCTTACCGGAGACATTCAGCATGTCGTCTATCCTCCCCGTTATCCAATAGTACCCATCCTCATCTCTACGGCAACCTGTAACGGATGAATAATAAAATCATTTAAAATAAAAAAAAATGCAACAAAATAAGATATAAAAGGAAATAAAGAACAAAATATATTAAAAGTAGGTCTTATCTCTCACCATCTCCTGTGACGTAATATCCCGGAAACTTCTTGAAGTACACGGTTTCAAACCTCTGCTTGTTCCCGTACACCGTCCTCATCACACCGGGCCACGGCTGTTTGAACACCTGTTTGAAAGCAGAGGGAGCAGAAACTGATCAAAACACAGGACCAGTGAATACATCAAACATCATTAACACGTGGTGATGATGATGATGATGCTCACCAGGTACCCTTCGCTCGGTCCCTCCAGCTCCTCTCCAGACTCATTCAAGATGGCCGGAACCACTCCGAAGAACGGGAATGTCTGGAGGACAGAAATGATGGCAAATAAAAGTTTGTTTTTATTGGATTTGTGTTTAATTACCTCCACCAAGGAGTTTATATGTGTAGCTTAGTCTGTCTGTCAGCAGGATTAATGATAAGCTCCTGGTACAATTGTCATTAAACTTGGTGTTATAATACACGTATGATAACATTGTGTAAATAATCAAATGCCTCTTAAATAATTTCTGATTCTATACACTTTTTCATTGTCTTAAATGTTTTTTCTATCACTTCTTTCTTCTTCTTTTGTCTCTTATTTTCAGTTGTTTTCTAATAGCATTCATGCAACATTGTTAAACATGTTCAAAATGTATTTAATTCAGTGTTAAAGCAGAACTGTGTTATATTTAATTTACTCACAGCAGATCCAGGTTTCATGGGTGTGGCTGCAGGGAGAGGAGTCAACACATGTCCACCCTGAAAGGCCAGAGAACATCCAGTTAGAAAAGTGTTTTATCCCACAGGGTGTGAATAACCTGTGTTTCCAGCAGAGGGCAGTCACACTCTGCAACTACTGCTACTACTGAATAATATTAATAATAATACATTTAATTTGAATAGTGGCTTTCTAAGTGATCAAACACTTCAAACAAGCATGCATACAAATAGGATAACAAAAGATACAATAAAATAAATAAGAAAAACGCAGAATAAATATTGTATTTTAAATTGTCAAGACTGTAGAGAAGGCCATCCTTTCCTGCCCATTTAACATTGATGAATGCAAGACATACTGGATGCCACTTAGTGGATATGTAATATTATAACTTACAGTTTCTGTCTGCCAGAAAGTGTCCACGATGGGACATCTCTTCTCTCCCACCACGTTGTAGTACCACTGCCAGGCCTCGGGATTGATCGGCTCTCCCACCGTCCCCAAGACTTTCAGAGATTCCCGCTTATACCTGCAGAGAGAGCGTCATTTACCACAGAAACCATTCGAACGGCTCCCTTGCGTGACCAATAACATGTTAGATTATGATGGTCTGAGGCGACTCACTTGTGCACCGGCTCTTTGCCGTACTTCATCAGCAGCCTGATGGCGGTGGGAGCCGTGTAGAACTTGGAAACATGATATTTGTCCACAATCTCCCACATACGGCTCACATCTGGGTAAGTAGGCAGGCCCTCGAACTGAAACACACATAACAAATCGTAATTATATAAGAACTTGAACAACAGAAAGATATTTTAAAAAGAAGAGGAAATTATATAATTAATAAAATAAGAAGTATATCTATAAATAATTGTATTTTAAGGACAAAGAGTATTGTATGCTGTACAACTTGTTAAGACCCCCGAGGGAAACATTTTAAAAGACAGTGACTTAAGCTCTATCTCTGGTCTAAACCCAAACATTTTAAAATGTAATTAAAACTAAAAAGCGTTTTCCACCTGTAAGGCTTTTATAGTCATCTATGCAAAATCCTATAAATAGAAATCATAGGACAGATGTATTTAAATGAAGCTTTCTTTAGTTGCAGATAGAATCAGCCACCACCTGCAGGCAGACACAATCGAGTTTGTAAAAACAGGAAGTGGAGTAACGGCCCTCACTCACCAGGACGCTGGTGGCCCCGTTGGCCAGCGGGCCGTAGGTGATGTAGGAGTGTCCGGTGATCCAGCCGATGTCTGCCGTGCACCAGTACACGTCGTCAGGCTGGTGGTCGAACACCAGTTTGAAGGTGGTGGCGGTGTAGACCATGTAGCCACTGATGGTGTGGAGGACTCCCTGCAGGCGAGAGGAGCGTTGGGAAGGATTTGACGCGGTGGATGATTTTAAAACAGTGATTTAAAAAAGACAAAAGCATATTTTTGTTGCGTGATGGAATAAAATGATAGAGATATTTATAATTTGTTGCTTGAGAATGAGAAATGTGTATTGCTTCAAATTATGTTATATGTATATTTTATCCCATTATTTTTACTTCAAACCTCTTTAAAAACATATTTAATGATATTTAATTGTTGAAGGGTGTCTAAGATCTACGTTTTTAACTTCCAATAAAAAAATAACATAACTTGAACATTTTCAGACAGCTCGCTTCAATTTTCACATTTACATTTTAACAGTGTATCTGTATGGATGAGTGCAGTGTGTATGTGTGTGTGTGCGTGTGCGTGTGTCTACTCTACCTTGGGTTTGCCGGTTGAGCCGCTGGTGTAGAGGATGAAGAGAGGATCTTCAGAGTTGCACCACTCTGGTTCGCACTCGTCTGAAGCTCCACGTACCAGAGCGTGCCAACACAAGTCCACCTTGGGGTTCCACGGGACCTGCAATCAAACACACACAGAAACACACAGAAACGTGCACAGACAGGACAAGTGAATACAATATTCATGACCCATGTCAATCAGGTAATTGACATTGAAATGACAGATGTTTTTATATGCTAAAATAAAAACAAAAGGGAAAGAAAGTTAGTTTGACAAACTAGTTAGGAGAGGAGTGCAAAACGTGAAGTCTGTAAATCTTCAGTTACTGTGAAGCAATCAATTAAGTGCATTTAGGAAACAAACAAGTCATTTTTTTCTTTCTGAAAATCAGAGCTGAATAACTTTCCATCTGATATAAAATAAGATCTCAAATATAAGGTAAATATAAGACAGAACGAAAGATAAGCGATAAATCAAGATAAGGAAAAATAAGATGCATGTTGGTAGCTCTGAGGAGAACAGGAACACTACAGGGGAAATTAATCTGGTTAATTTAAATTAAACTGATCTTTAACGTGTTTTGGATTAATCTCATTTGCCTTCATTCTGCCACAAAGAATCAAGTTAGCCTCTGTTGACGAGTGAATCGATCCTGATCTGTCCAGTCAAACCCACAACTCACACAGTATTACACAAAAAGCTGTTTAGATTAAGATTAGTAAGAAAATCACAACAATCTTCAGAGACAGCAGGTCATTGGGCTGTGTAAAAGTAAGTAGAAAGTGTAAAACTGCAACACGAAGGGTGAGTTCACAACAGATACAAAAAGAGAAAAGTGTTATTACCAATTCAACTCTGACAGACGGCCCAGAAAACATCTGAGATTATTTTTTATTTCATTTTAAGTGCAATTTTCGGTCTTAATTCAGATTTTCATGCAGATTTTTTCCTATAAAAGTTTACTGAAATGTAATCTGTTATCTTCATCAACAAAAAAAATGTTTTGTCTTAATATCAGCGGATAACAGAAAGAACATTTTCATCACAATTACATTTGTTTGTAAATCAGGGAGGGGAATAATGATACATTTTAATGTTCACAAATGTACTCTGAACCGTCAAATCACATCATTTAAAATGCTGTTGCTGGGTAAAAACAATAAGCAATAATAATGTCTTAATTTATATCAGATTCAAAAGAAAAATATTATATTTATCATAGAGAAGCATAGATTTAAAGTGCCAACAATTTATGAAGCAAACGTCTTTCTTCGTTTATTGTTTTTATTCTACAGCAGCAATATGACAGGTCTACTTGTGGGGGAAACATTCTTCTAAAAAGCCAAAAGAAGAAAGGGGGTGATGGGGGTTTAGTGGAGGGAGGAGGGAATGAAAATACCTGCGGAACAGGACGAGTTTTCTTTACCCTCCCTGTCTGTTTCTCCTGCTGGGCGGAGGAAAGGAAAGGAGGGAGAGGAGGAGGAGGAGGAGGAGCAGGAGGAAGGAGAAGTTAATGAGGGAGAGTGGTTATTAAAAACAAATTAAAAAAACACAAAATTAAAAGAAAAACCAGGGTCCATAACGTCACCAAAAGTTGATATGGAGAGAGGATTAGGGAGCTTTTTAAGTTTAAAAAAGATTGTAGCTTTTGAAAAAGACCCAAACCACAAAACCAGTTGTAGAGAAGTCAGTAAAAGTCTTTACAGGTGTCTTACTTTGTTAATATAATGGATGTAAAGGATTACAATTAGAAAGACTGTTTAAAAGGATAAAGCTGGCTTTAGTCCATATCTTTCTTTTTGTCAATAAATCCCATCAAGTAGTTTCTTTAGTTTGTCTCCAAGCCCAGTGGTTCCTAATACAGAGGTAACTCTTTAAAAACACAGATGCATGGTTTAATCATTTTTCAAATCAAATCAAGTTTTATTTATATAGCACATTTATATACGATTTTTGGTCGAGCCAAAGTGCTGTACAAATAGTAAAAATACCCTACAGTAAAGACATTTTACAGCAAATACAACAGCACAGTTTGTTCAGAATATCAGTATGAGAGAAAACGACACCCTCTGTCCTTAGACCCTCACATCGTACAAGGAAAAACATCCAGAGAAAAACCCACAATTTAAAGGGGAAAAATGGGAGAAACCTCGGGGAGAGCATCAGAGGAGGGATCCCTCTCCCAGGACGGACAGACGTGCAATAGATGCCGTGTGTAAATCGAAGAGATAATATGTTTTACAGCGTAGGTAGACCGAATGTTAGGAAATGCATGTGTCTATAATAAGAATTTTTAGCTCAATTATCTATTTTTGCTGTTTGAAAGTGTAGCATTCAATCAAACAATCAGGTGTATTGTAGTGGTAGTGTAGTTTAAATGTAGTTTGTTCTTACACCATCAGCAGGGAAATTTATTACATTTCTTTATTCCTCATAAAAAAAAGGATTATGAAAAAATAATTTGCAAACTTGCAGAAACACTTGTGTCCAAACGAGTGTTATTTTCAGCTTTGAGTGGGATTTATTGACAATAAGAAAAATACAGAATATCCCCACCCCTTTTCTTAAAAAAATACTGAGAAATGTAATTAGTGTGGTATTATTTACAAGTTAGTCAAATTGACCCTTTTTTAAGTTTTCTGCCAAAAAAGGGAGTAGCAAAGCAATGATGTTTTCTTAGGGAAATGTGAACTTAAAATAAAAATATAAAACACATAAAAGGACACACCATGATGGGACTGCATGATATGATAAGACAGTATGACCGTAGAGGATCGATCTAACACTGCAGGAACTCTTTGGCCCGGTCTGGAACGGCCCGGTTTGGGTTTTTATCTTTTAGTTTATGGTTTACCTGCAGATCAGGACAGGAGCGTTTGGCGGGAGGAGACTGAGAGCCCAGAGGAGTCTCTTCTGCTTCTTTAGACAAGTGCTTCAACATTATACACTTCTGTATAGGGAAACCCCTGTGCACACACACACAGACAAAGAGACTTAGATTTGATAATCACTACGTCATACACACTGAGCATAACAGACATGTTTCTCTGAATGCTCTGTATGCTTAAATATATTATTTGCAGCATTAACAATCATTATTAACCTTATAATACTAAAGTACTGTATATTAATAGTGTGTGTGTGTCTGTGTCTGTGTCTGTGTGTGTGTGTATCTTACTTGTCTCTGCATTTCTGCAGTGCTTCGTTAGCTATGAGCTTCAGGTTGATCAGCTTATCTCCTCGGTAGAAACCATCTTTGCAAATGAGTTGGACAAAGAGAGAGTGACAGGTGATGAAGAGAGGGAGGAGGAAGAGAAGATAAAGAAATACATCTGGATTCAGACCAGATTGAGCAAGAAATAACTGATAACGGAAGCTAACTTCGGGCGGGACTGGATATACAGTATGAGCAGGGGTTATACTGTAAACATAAGCTGCTGGAAGTGGAAGAAGTAAACTCATAGATTCTACTTCAGTGTACTACTTTGTTTGTTAAAAGTCCTGAATTCAAAATCTATATTAAAACTGCAAAGTCATAAGAATCAAAATATACTTAAAGTACCAAAAGTAAAGAAGTCACCATGAAGAACGGCCCATTTCAGAATAATGTGCATTCAATTATTTGATTGTAGAGTGGAGCCTATAAATACATAAATGAAGTCTAAAGACCTCTTTTCTTAACATTTAATTACGCAACCTAATTTATGTATTGATTATATTTGATCTGAATATGTAAAGTAACTTAAGCTCTCAAATAAAAAAAAATACAATACTCGCCCCTGGATTGTAATGAAATAAAAGTATAAAGTAGGAGAACATTTAATTTCTCACATTAAATACAAGTTCCTAAAAATTGTACTGAAGTAAATGCACTTTTTTTTCCATCAATGTCTGGAGGTAGCTTTTTTTTTTATGTAATACGTACACTATCTGATACTAAGTCTCTTTTAGGCTCACATCATTTGGTGCCCAGGCATTTGTTACATTTCAATGTCATGCTTTTTAATGTTGGGCTCTCATGTTTTACAGCATGGGCCTCACCCCTCTGCAGTTTCAAAGGTAGTTGAGATAGTTTACTAAACTTTTACCATGGGTAGTAAAACTCAACGACACCCAGTGAAGAACAGAGATCTGTGTTACCATCCATGCTCTAATTACGTTCTTAACAAGCTAATAAAACTCTCTGAGTACACATGCCGGTCAGAAGGAAAGGCTCTGATCCGATTACACGACTTCTATGAATGAGAAATGTGTTAATGTGTGAACGCCAACCAAAGGCCATTAACTGCAGATTTACAGGATTATCTACACAGACTTTAATCCGGCTAATAAGACTTTGATTACTGGGCTCAGCGCAGCAGCTCGTCTCAATTTATTCTGCATTTCCTTTCAGTTTCACTAAGGCGCGTTCAGGGACCTGAAACATTTTAACGCCATTTCAATTTCTCAGATGTTATCTCTCCTGTCATTTCATTTTGAAGCAGATGAAACTGAAGTTCATTTTCACTGCATATTATATTGTATATAAATCAATAGACTTTTTTAATTGTCAGAAAATTGTGAAAGAGTTTGTCAGCGTTCAAAATAATGTTTTTTTTGTTTGTCCAAAACCAGAAGATATTTGCTGTACCAAAAAACAGAGATGACGGAAATCTCCATGTTTGAGAGACTGAAAAATGTCATGAAAAAAGTATAAGAATGGTTACAACCCCAATGATCCAGTAGTAATTTGATGACGATACATTTGTCTTTTTTTGATACGGTAGCAGAATAGATCCAGAACAATTTGCTTATCTATCCAGTGGTGTATTTTTTTATAAATCATTCCCTGTACCCCAAAAGGCCTTTCAGATATTCTGCCGTGTAGATTTGTTTTAGTGTTTTTACAATCCCACCTGCTGTGATGAGCAGCGAACACTCCGAGTCCAGGATCCTCTCACACAGAGACTCTGCTGAGAAACCTGCAAACTGGAAACAAAACCCCACACACAGTATTAAAGTATTAAAAATACAAACTTTATCTTAAACCATAATTTACCATGTTAACATGTTTTTCTCTGCTATGGAAAAATATGTTTTTATGCACTATTTGTATTTGTTGAAAGGGTGTTGAAGGCATTTCATTTTGTGTGAAGTGGATCCCACTCATGAGGCGGATACAAGCATTAGTATTTGTGTAAACTATCAGCTACCAATGGGATGTTTAAACGCTCTGATGCTACAAATATTCTTTGTAGCATCCATGTGGTTTCTCTACTGAGACTTGACCGCTCAAGAAGACAACAAAGTCTTTCCTTCTCTGGAAATAAGCAAGTGAGCTCTCTGGGATATGTATAAAATAACTGTCTTTTAAAACCTTGTGAAAATGTAAAGGGTGTTTCAGTCATTTAATTTAGTGTGAAGTGGATCCAAATCATGGAGCGGATGCAAGCATTATCTTTGACTTTCATTAAATGTGAGATAGGTCATTTGTGCTGCATTCATGTAGTGTCGGAATATTCTGCAATCTTGCTTCTCTAACTCACCACGATGGAGTGAACAGCTCCGATGCGGACGCAGGCCAACATGGCCACCACCAGCTCCACCACCATGGGCATGTAGATGGAGACACGGTCGCCCTTCTTCACTCCTACAGACACCAAGACGCAGTGCGATCAGGTCAAATAAAACAGACGTTTGCCTTAAGGGGCCAACAACTGTGGAGTAACCTTCTTTTTAGCATCAGACAGGCTTCTTAAGTGTCCTCTTTGAAACATATTTTATTTGAGGTTTTGTTTTCTTCTCTATTGATGTATTCCCAAAAATGTTCCTCATTGTACTTTGTCTAATTGTGCTGTTTCTGTAAAGGGCTTTTTAAACTTAATCAAAAGCTATATAGAGTTGCATTGAGCATTCTTATTAAATAAAAAGAGCAATCCCTCTTTTGATCTTAATATTTGTATATATATGTTTCTTAAATTGCGCTTTGTTTCTTGTTTCTATGTCTGTGAAGCACTTTGTAAACTTCTTTTTTGAAAAGTGCTAAATAAATAAAGATTATGATCATTAAATGCTGAATAAAAAGGAGAAATCACATTTAATCCCGTTTACTAGAGGATCAGCCAAGTCTTCACAGCCCTATTTAATTACACAGTTGTATTTATAAATCCGGTAGATTTAACAGGTTGACGTACCCTGAGACTTCAGGACGTTGGCGAACTGGCAGACCCTCTGCAGCAGCTCTCTGTACGTCACCGTCAGCTCATCCCCCGGCTCGTTGCCCTCCCTGAAAACACATCAAAACATAAAGAGAAATGTGAGAGAGAACATCTTATTTTAACAAAAACTAATCTGTTAGTAAACTGACTGCTACATGGAGGGTGCATGGGTTTACAGCTCCTTCTTCATTCATATAATCAATCAATACTCAATTAAAAACACTATTGCCTAATCATTTCTGACACTGGTTTCTACAACCAACATAATCCCACTCGTTAATCACATAATTATAATGAATCTATATTCAATTCAAACTCCTTTTGCTAAAATGATGCCAATTGAAACAATCATTATAAATCATTGCATTCTTATACTCAATTTATACTCAGTTCAAGCCACTTTTGCTTATTCATTTCTTACAAGGGTTTCTGATACATCCCAATTATTATAATTTACATGTTATGCTTAATCATTCTTACGTCATAACCAGTGTTACCCCTACCATTGTCTTGGAGGGCGCTGCGCCCCGCCAACGGAGCCCCACGCCCCCCCCCTGAAATTCAAGGTGGTTTTTTTTCATATATTTATATATATATATATATATATTAACGATATATGATATAGCTAGATATAGATAATATATATATATATATCTATTATACTAATATAGATATATATATATATATATAATATATTATATATATATATAGATATATATATATATATATATATATTATATATCTCTATATATATATATATATATATATATTATCTATATATATTGGGATAAAGAAGTTGCAGGTTGATTGACGTCAGTCAGAAAATGTTATTGCATAATTTCCTGTTAACACAAAATGGTAAAGTACATGGATTTCTTGCCTCAAACCTGGCTACAATGACATTTGTTAAACGACATACTGTACACAAAGGCCAACGTCGCCCCGCACATTGTGATTTCCAGACATATTTTCAAACTATTATTTGGTTGACAAATGAATTGTAAAACATATTTTCTGCAGTGATGCTGCAACTGACAATTATTCTCTCAATTAACTGAGTAATTGTTTGATCTGAAATGTAAAAGAAATAGAGAAAATCCTATTTTCCTGAAGCCTAAACGTTTCCTAACCAGCTTAAATCACTATTACATTCATTATTTTAGCTCCAATTGTTCAATAAATTAATAACGACAATATTCCAGAGTTGAACCCCGTCCCTATGAAACTCATTTGGTATAATTAAAAGCTTTTATTCGAAAAGTTCTGTATTGTTGGTTTTGCATAAATGATCTATCCAAGAATGTAAAGGGTTAACAGTATGACAATGAGAGGCTTAAGTAGAGATGAATTTAATTATCGTGATACAACTGATACATTAATATAATTATATAAATGTAATAATAGTGCAAAGTTGGGTCCCAGCTCTCCTCTTCATCACTAACTGTGTCTCGTCTCTGTAGACTCTGAGAGACGAGATTCACGGACACGGATGTAATTTAATAATCTGGAGAGGCAGCGCTGTCACAACTCATTCATCTCTCTGTGCTCTCGAGACAATGCTATTCATCTAAAAGCCTTAGTCCAACAAAACGAGCCTGTGTGAAATATGAGCTACGTGAACTTGAATGTTACTTTTGCAAGGATGCATTTTCCTTCAACGCCCAGGGTGTAACTGTGTTGTGAAAAAGGGGAAAGTTGAAATCTTTCACAACTGGGCTGAAGTTCTGCCGATCAAAATCTGGCTGTGATAAAAGTTCCGTTTTTTAGATCTTTTTTTTTTGGGGACTATTATTACATTTATATAATTATATTAATGTATCAGTTGTATCACGATAATTAAATGAATCTCTACTTAAGCCTCTCATTGTCATACTGTTAACCCTTTACATTCTTGGATAGATCATTTATGCAAAACCAACAATACAGAACTTTTCGAATAAAAGCTTTTAATTATACCAAATGAGTTTCATAGGGACGGGGTTCAACTCTGGAATATTGTCGTTATTAATTTATTGAACAATTAGAGCTAAAATAATGAATGTAATAGTGATTTAAGCTGGTTAGGAAACGTTTAGGCTTCAGGAAAATAGGATTTTCTCTATTTCTTTTACATTTCAGATCAAACAATTACTCAGTTAATTGAGAGAATAATTGTCAGTTGCAGCATCACTGCAGAAAATATGTTTTACAATTAATTTGTCAACCAAATAATAGTTTGAAAATATGTCTGGAAATCACAATGTGCGAGGCGACGTTGGCCTTTGTGTACAGTATGTCGTTTAACAAATGTCATTGTAGCCAGGTTTGAGGCAAGAAATCCATGTACTTTACCATTTTGTGTTAACAGGAAATGATGCAATAACATTTTCTGACTGACGTCAATCAACCTGCAACTTCTTTATCCCAATGCAAACTAAATGCCACAAATGTACTCCTTCAAGTTTGTCTGTTTTTTGCTTTAAAAGCTCTCTGAGTTTTTCCTCTATTCCCCTTTTGCAATATAATGTGTAAGAGGGGGACAACAAGTGCACATTTATAAAACACACGCATATTATTTTACACATTTTCCCTATGAATACTTTTCATATGAGATAGTAATGTACCGTGGAACTCGGACACAGCTCAAGGAGTAAAAGTAAAAAACACCTGAGGGAAAAACGTCCGTCAACAAGAAAGAGATGAGGCGTAAAGTAAATAAAAAAAGACATGGCCGAGAAATAGTAGAGAGAGCATTATGAAAGAGTGTTTAGAGGGAGGTAAAAAGAGTGCAATCTTCGGAGGACTTTAAATCCACCATGGGGGGACAAAACTGTTGCAAAACTTGAGCAACAGTATAAAATATTTAAGCATGAACACGCATGTTTATGAGCATTGAATACAAGCTTAAACACGTCACAAAAGGTTCCTTCCCTGAAGTTTAAATGTGTTCTCAGTCTACCAACATGTGTAGACATGGACCATAAAGTAGAAAATACGGTGGCCCGGAAGTGCAAGACACCACAGCATTTCAGAAAACACAACAGCATTTCAGAAAACGCTACACCATTTCAGAAAACACCACAGCATTTCAGAAAACACAACAGCATTTCAGAAAACGCTACACCATTTCAGAAAACACCACAGCATTTCAGAAAACACAACAGCATTTCAGAAAACACCACAGCATTTCAGAAAACACCACAGCATTTCAGAAAACACAACAGCATTTCAGAAAACACCACAGCATTTCAGAAAACACAACAGCATTTCAGAAAACGCTACACCATTTCAGAAAACACCACAGCATTTCAGAAAACACAACAGCATTTCAGAAAACACAACAACATTTCAGAAAACACCACAGCATTTCAGAAAACACAACAGCATTTCAGAAAACACAACAGCATTTCAGAAAACACCACAGCATTTCAGAAAACGCAGCAGCATTTCACAAAACGCTACACCATTTCAGAAAACACAACAGCATTTCAGAAAACACAACAGCATTTCACAAAACGCTACACCATTTCACAAAACGCCGCAGCATTTCACAAAACACAACAGCATTTCACAAAACACCACAGCATTTCAGAAAACACAACAGCATTTCACATTGGACGGAAAGGGTATTCCTTTAGGGAGAACACTTCTTGTTTGTGATTGGACAGAGCCAGCCAGAGAAGCACTGCTGTGATTGGTTGTTTTTGCTGCCAGTCAAGAAATGACGCTTCGTGATTGGTCAGCACCCGAGCGCAACATGTCCCAACACATCAACCGTTAGCTGTTAGCACACACTCAGAGCTCCTCATATCTGTTCAGAAACTGGACAAAAGTTAAACAAGTACAAACCACAGACTGTCTGTGTCATGGCGAATACAGTCGCTGCTTTATTTATGTCTGTATGACGCTGTTGTGAGTGTGGACGGAGCAGCTACAGGTTAGTTTAGCCTGATCGATCCGCCCCCTCTCCAGCACGTCTTGTTTGAATGACAGGAGTAAACACTGACAGCTGCGGTGAAACTCGACAACAAAATGAACATATTGACCGTGATTTAATTGTAATACACGTTTCAAAGTGATGCCGAAGTAACTACATACTGATACCGGTTAGTAAAAACCATGAATTAATGCTTTGACAAGTCTGCAGACAAGACAGCAGGCGAAAAGCTTTTAAAATGCGTGTTTTCTGAATGGAATCGGATCCATCAAGCTAAACTAACCTGTAGCTGCTCCGTCCACACTCACAACAACGTCATACAGACATAAATAAAGCAGCGACTGTATTCGCCATGACATATACAGTCTATGGTTTGTACTTGTTTAACTTTTGTCCAGTTTCTGAACAGATATGAGGAGCCACTGAGTGTGTGCTAACAGCTAACGGCTGATGTGTTGGGACATATAGCTGTTAGCACACACTCAGAGCTCACAGCTCCTCATATCTGTTCAGAAACTGGACAAAAGTTAAACAAGTACAAACCACAGACTGTCTATGTCATGGCGAATACAGTCGCTGCTTTATTTATGTCTGTATGACGCTGTTGTGAGTTTGGACGGAGCAGCTACAGGTTAGTTTAGCCTGAAGGATCCGATTCCATTCAGAAAACACGCATTTTAAAAGCTTTTCGCCTGCCGTCTTGTCTGCAGACTTGTCAAAGCATTAATTCATGGTTTTTACTAACCGGTATCAGTATGTTGTTACTTCGGCATCACTTTGAAACGTGTATTACAATTAAATCATGGTCAATATGTTCATTTTGTTGTAGTTGGTATCTCCCATAGGATTTACATGGAGATACGCCCCGCCCCCTCTCCAGCGCGTCTTGTTTGAATGACAGGAGCAAACACAGCTGACAGCCGCCGTGAAACTCGAGCGATTAGAGCGATGCGAATATTGGGTAGTCTACCATAGTATTTACATGGAGATAAGCCCCTTAAAAACCATGAATTAATAAAGCATTAATTCATGTTTTTTTCGCATCGCTCTAATCGCTCGAGTTTCACCGCAGCTGTCAGTGTTTACTCCTGTCATTCAAACAAGACGTGCTGGAGAGGGGGCAGATCGATCAGGCTAAACTAACCTGTAGCTGCTCCGTCCATACTCACAACAGCGTCATACAGACATAAATAAAGCAGCGACTGTATTCGCCATGACACAGACAGTCTGTGGTTTGTACTTGTTTAACTTTTGTCCAGTTTCTGAACAGATATGAGGAGCTGTGAGCTCTGAGTGTGTGCTAACAGCTAACGGTTGATGTGTTGGGACATGTTGCGCTGTCGGGTGCTGACCGATCACGAAGCGTCATTTCTTGACTGGCAGCAAAAACAACCAATCACAGCAGTGCTTCTCTGGCTGGCTCTGTCCAATCACAAACAAGAAGTGTTCTCCCTAAAGGAATACCCTTTCCGTCCAATGTGAAATGCTGTTGTGTTTTGTGAAATGCTGTTGTGTTTTCTGAAATGCTGTGGTGTTTTCTGAAATGCTGTGGTGTTTTCTGAAATGCTGCGGCGTTTTCTGAAATGCTGCGGCGTTTTCTGAAATGCTGTGGTGTTTTCTGAAATGCTGTTGTGTTTTCTGAAATGCTGTTGTGTTTTCTGAAATGCTGTTGTGTTTTCTGAAATGCTGTTGTGTTTTCTGAAATGCTGTTGTGTTTTCTGAAATGCTGTTGTGTTTTCTGAAATGCTGTTGTGTTTTCTGAAATGCTGTTGTGTTTTCTGAAATGCTGTGGTGTCTTGCACTTCCGGGCCACCGTAAGAAAACATATAAAAAGCTGCACAGTTTAAACCCCAGAAGGAAACCGAGATGTTTTTGTGCAACTTGTTTGACATTAGACTCACATAACTTTAATGAGCAGTGAAACGCAGAGTAAAATCACTTTCAGATGTGTTGCGTTAAATCCAAAATGACTGTTTCATGCTCGTTCTCTCTTTTTATTGCTTAACCGGTTGAGGCTGATAAGACCAGCATTACAGGAACACACACACACACACGCACACATAAGCCCCGCCCTCCCCTAGCATCCAGCATATGAAACTGTTGCAAAACGCCTCTTTTAGCAGCAGTGAGTGACAGCTCACTCTACAGCTTCAGTGGTAAACTGATCCAGAAACACACTGCTGCCTCAGTGGAGTTTCTCAATAGTGCACACACTGTTTCTTTAGGTTCTTCCAGTATAGTGTGTATATGTGTGTGTGGGTGTGTTGGTGGTGGGCAGGGAGCTGGCAGAGCTGAAAGATCTCTGTGACCCGCTTGGCACCGAGCGCTAATGGGAGTTCACAGAATGACTGATACTGTTTTAGAGCACTGACATTGATAATCATTTACAATACGATATCTGAGCTGCAGAGTGTGTGTGTGTGTGTGTGTGTACAACCAGGACACAATAAAGACAGCGGTTATATAGTTTAGATACTGACAGATATGTAAGAGATAACTAAATTAAATATAATACTGGTTGTTTTTTTACATATAAACATACAATCCTGATAAGAATCCTTGTATAATCCCTTAACAGGACAGAGTTAAATCATGTTGTCAGTGCTCTTTGGAGAGAAAACTATGTACTGTTTCTTCATTAACTCACACCTTTGTTTGTTTTCGCAGCTCATATAACGTATAGGCTGAAATGCAACTGCCGAGATATCTGACATTAGATGATATACATTGTTATACAAGTGTGGCAGATCAATTAGTTATGCTAAAAACAGCTAAAAACAGCTAAAAACTTGTATACGTTTTATACTGTTGGTAAGACAAAACAAGCAAACTACTTTTTTAAAACACTTTATAAATAAATGAGTTGAACATGCAGGAGAAACATGTTTTGCATGCTGGTAAACACTTCACTGAAGGTCATCAGACAAGTTTGCCCGGCTATCTTTACTGCAAATGTTAAGAGCGATAATAGCACGTACACACATTAATAAACACACACACGCGCCTATAAATAAACAATAGTGATACACATCGTCAACACTGTGGCTTTGAATGTCAGGGACTGAGGAGGACAAACTGTTTCTTTAGTATGACGACATCACTTAAAACTAAAAAAGACCAGCGTATCAAATGATAATACACACAAGAAAATGTAAAAACTACTCGCATGCTTTCTTTTCTATTTCCTTAATGGAACAAGTGACTTCTCGAGGTCAGGGTGAAAACAGTATCAGCATTTAGTTTGAGTTAAAGTGGCTTAGTTCATCATTTCATTCATAGTGATAAAACTAAATAAAGAACAACTCATTTTTATTCAAAGCCATAAATTGAACACTGAACGTCATGTGCTAAAACACATTTTGCATTTTTTGACCGAAATGTAAGAAGTCCCTTTACGGATCTTACTCCTGTAGATGTTTTAAGTTCTAATTTGAACTCCTCAATATACTGTTGGGTAGTTTAATCTAAAAGATGATCATATGTTTGTAGCTTTGTCCTGTGAGAACCAAACATCTCTAAAAGAATCAGCTTTTCAGCACTTTCTCCCAAAAATAATCCTTGTTTTCAGATTTGAAAAGATGCATTTTTTAGCTGATCTAAGAGGCTTTTATACGCTTAAGAAGTAGCAGATTAAATCCAAAAACAATATTGACAATCTGTTAATTGTTGTATTTTTCAAGCAAAATGCTAACATGAATGCAGGTGTTCTGCTTTTTCTTGTCAAATGTGTTAATAAATTAAATATTCTGGTTTGCACAAATGAATCGATTAATGGCTAAAATAATCTGCAGACAAATCTGAATAAGAATAACTGTTTGTTACAGAGGAAACATTTAGCAGATAGTATGATTAGTGAATCGGCAAAAAGGTTGGCATAAGTTGAATTTAATCAATAAAAGTCTACATTTACTGGTTTAGCTGTTGTTTTTTTTGTGTAAAAAAATGTCACTTTTGCTCAGGGATTCAAGATGTTACACTACAAGACATCTTATAGAGAAAATGATCTAATATTAATGAAAATAATGATAAGTTGCAGCACTGCTTTCAGAGATGTTCCTGCACGTTAAAGTCAGCGGGGGCTCACTGTTCTGGTATCTCCGCTACATTTAATCACACGTTCCCACTTTCCCCATCCTCTCCCTGGATGGCACCGCTTTAAAAAGCCTTGTGCGGCCTGACTGCATTCCTCCCTGTGGCCTCAGCATTTACATGAGGACACATCAGAGCCCGGAGGCAAGAGGCACAAAGAGGGAGAAGAGAGAGTGAAAGAAAATAAGTGATGCTGCCGAGCGAGAAGAGAAGCCTTTCAGGACAAACAGGAACAAGTGCAGTGTTTCAGTAAAGAGGGTCAGCCAAGAGGAAGAGATGGAGAGGTTAAGGGAAAGAATAGGAGCAGGCATGTCAAATGATAAGAGTGATGATGCAAATGTGTGTACAGGGAAGTAGTCTTTTCTTTTACTTAATTAAAATAGACATAAATTGCCCTTTTAGCTCCAACGAATACTTGATTATCATAATAACAAACAACTTTTATCAACCCAAAAAAACATATTTTTAAATGTCATGCTGACAGGTGCACTTGTTGTGATGTGAACACACACACACACACACTCACCAGTAAAAGGCCACTTTATCTCCGAGCTTCCTCTCGTGGACGTTGCGGTCGAGCAGATTGTAGCAGATGTTGGTTGAAGCTCCTTCCATGAACTTGATGAATATTTCTCCTTTAGTCACATCGAAGTTGTATTCGAGGAACGGACCCGAGTGTTTGGTCTTCCAGAAGAAATCTTTAGCAATGTCGCCCCAAAACTCTGCAGGACGGGATGAGAGACGGACACAAAATAATAAATATACGTCTTCATCTCAGATACATTTGTAAGTTACAGGTCTCACGTATTGTCTTAATTAATGCAATGCTTCAGATTGAACAGGAAAGACAGTTATGTTGCAAATTACAGCTTGTATGTCGTTGGCCTGTGTGGCTCTTGCAGTCAGGCCACACATGTTGCAAGATGCATTTGGTTGACAGAGGATTCGGATTGTGACAACCACTTTTAGAATTAACTTTAAAATGTGCAAAAACAACAACAGAGGTCCACCAAAAATCACCAGAACAAGGTGAAATTAATTGATTATGTGTTCAATTTAAAAACTACACCTCAAAATGATTTTCATTATAATACAGATTGTTTCTCAGTTTATAAGTTAAGCAGTGTGTCTATGAAGTGCAAGAAATTAGTGGAAAGTCAATTTCCTAAAGTTCTGAAATGTCTTGTTTTGAGCAAGCAAATTTAAAAGATTGTATTTGTTGCTTCTTTTAAAAAAAAAAAATGTTTAAAAAGGTGTATGCTTTGAATCCAGGCCACTGTGGAAAGGACTGAGCCTTGCTACATTACTGCTGCTTGTTTAACCAGTTGAGCTACCAAGGTGCTTCAAAGGTCATCATTTAAAACAGAAAGGCAGCAAACCTTCCCTTCGGGGAAAATGCAACCAGATAAAAGCTTTTGAAAGACTGAGTGTTTCACTGAATAACCAGCAGAGCTCATGAAGAGCTAAATACAATATTTATTTTAGCATTGAACAAAAACAAAACCTGCCAACATATGTGTTTGCAACACAAGGTGGTTAATAATCATCTCCCTGTAACTTGTCCCACTTGTTGAAGTTCCTTTTGCGAAATGTTTATGGGCTAGCCTTCTCTGTGTATCATTAACATACATAACCATAAGGCATAATAACCCAGCATCGTTATTTCATCATGGCACAGCTATGGAGAATGTAATAACTGTTGTTTATAAACTCCTGAGCCCAAAGCCAAGGATCAGATTCCACCTGCAGGAAAAACTTGTTTCATGTCTCTTACATACTTTACACAGAGACTCCACTTCACAAGGAAATTAAATTAGCTAGTGTTTGATTAACAATAACTGCACTGATATGGAATCTGGTCTGGTAAATTCAGCAGAGACACGTCCCGCCCAAAGGACACACCGCTTCCTTATTACCAGAAAACCCTGACATAATCCAGCCGTACACGTTGTCTGCAGGAAACAATTAATCAAATATTTTTAACAAGCCATACTTACAGGTTTTCAGGGCTTAACATTTAAGTTATTTTGATTTAAAAGGGGACCTATCATGCAAAATGCACTTTTTGATGTCTTTTATACATAAATATGTGTGTGTCAGGGAACTCACGCAGCGTCAGAAAATAAAACCCTCTCTCTTTTCCTCCGTACCCAAATCTCTAAAAACGGGGGTACAACGGAGCTGATCCAGATTTGCGTCCGATACGACGTAATATCGGAAATGTAGGCTGGCTTTACACCCACGGCACTATCAGAAAGTTGCTATCAGAAACAATGCCCGACTGTTTTGGACGTAATATGATCGGTGTTTACATTAGCATCGCTAACACTCTACACTAACCTGTACTGGAGAGCATGTGTGTGAAGAAGCTGGATATAAAAAGGAACTCACCTTGTGGTATAACCGGCAAAAGAGAAAACCTTTGAGCTCCATACTGTTTCAGAAATAATCCTTGATAATCCATGATATGGCGTTTCATCACGGCAGTATTTAGTTTAGACAGTAGCTGCCGGGTCCCGCATGAGCTCAGCCTCCTCCTTTTTTATTTATCAATTTATTTATTTTTTAAAGGTTTATACCCCGAATCAGCACTTGTGAAACAGGAAGTGAAATAGAGGGATATGAGGCATGGCTAGAATGGGTGATCTGTTTGGTATTTTGAGCAAAACACTTCATAGATATATATACAAATATATAAGAAATATGTCTGAGACCTATGCTATTGCCTAAAAATAGCATGATAGGTTACCTTTAATTATTATTATGTTGATTTTACTCCTGAATTGTTGTTTTTTCCATAACATGTCATAGCATAGACAAAAGTGGCCGGAATAGAGATATCTTCTAATCTGATGTGCCCTCTAGTTAAATTAGGGTTGAGGGCTTGGCACAAGCCCTAAAATAATAATATTCTGAAATGCAGCTTTAAGTCACAGTCTGAGTAAAGTCTGAATAACTCAAATGCCTTTGCCTCAGCTGAAACAACACTGTGGAGGGTTTCTGCTCTGTATACTTTAGCACCTCTGACATAGACCTATTATATTTGCACCATCGCTTTTTAAATCAAATACATAAGACTTATATAGTTATGCAAAACGGCTCATTTCAGAACACTCTGTATTATATTATTGATTATAGATATCCTGGATAACAATTAAGTCTTAGTTACTTAGTTTGTTAACAATAATGTGACAATACTGTTTTAAAAAATCTTATTCCAAAGCCTGATTATTCTTAAGAATTACAACGTAATATCTCTTTTAAAATATGTAGTTTGTTATTATACTATCATCAAATCAGTGGCATAAAATGTTCTTTAAATGACAATAATATAGTTAAATTATAATTATTTCAGGGCCAATAAATAAAAAAAGAAGTACTTATCGTGGCTCCAGTCAATCGGAGCAGAAAATATAGGATAATCCAGTAAAGTAAAAATATCTCGAAATTCTAAGTACAGTAAATGTACTTTTACCACTTTAACAACTTAATGACATTGTGACAGAATTGACTTACCATCAGGATTCTCTATGGACTTTAAGTAAAGCTCCTTGTATTTCTCAAAGCTGGGGATGTGAGCTTCCTTCTTCAGCTCCTCAGACCCGTGGAAGACGTCTTCCTTTGGTACTTTTTCGGGAATCATCTCTGAAACGCTTGTTTAATACTTTTCCACGTTGGCTCTAGCACGCTTGCAGCCCAGCTTCGTTTGAATATCAATCGATATATCGACTGCACGCACAGACGCTGTCACAGATAATCAATATCAGCAATGCAGGACGGGAGAACAGGAGCTGCAGGAGCGAGCAGCACAATTAAGCAATGCAGCTGCAGCAAAGTTCATTCAGACTTCCTTGTTTTGCAGGATGTTTCCTTGTTGATTTCCGTAATACTTTACGTGCAAAAGCCGCGTTTGGACCCAACACGTGCAGCTGCAGTTGTGAAGCAAAGTCCGAATTAGTTTTCGTGCAGCTCCGGTGGATTTCTCGTGTGAAGTACCGCAAACAAGGACACGGCTGAGTGGGTGTCCAGTGAAGCTAACAGGCTAAGCTATCTCACACCAGTAGAAGGTGGACACGCGCTGAGACGAGGCCCTTCTGTATTAGCTTTTCAGACTCTACGTGTTTTTAATTATCAAATTAAAATCTTCACTCAGTCAGCAGAGGGTTTTCTAATAATGCCCTGGAGGCTGAATTGAACTGTTTTTGTCCCAGCGGTGACACTTCTTCTTCTTCGTCTCCTTTCCTTCTTCTTCTTTTCTTTTGACAACGATGAACTCTGTTTGGCTCAGACCGCCAGCCAATCAGAGCGCACGGTGCCTTCGCGTACTCCACAAAAGCTCCGCATTCACACTTTTAACAATGGTAAATGCGACCCCTCGTTGCGTTCAAGTGGTCAAGGTTGTCGTAAATACTTAATGGTGAAAAAAAAAAAGAAGAAAATAATTGTTTGTTTTTTTAATCATACTTCCTTTAACAGGCCATTTTATCTCCAAGACATGACAAGCATAATTAACCGTTAGAAAGGGTTATATTATAATATAAAGTTTAACTTAGTAAGACTTTGAATGCAACACTTCTACTTGTAACAAAGCATTTTTAGCTGATGTATAACTAAACACTTACACTTTATTAAATATCTGAGTAGAAAACTTCTTCCACTTCTGCATAGAATTGATCTTCGTATCCGCAAACATCGATATATATACATGTTATATATAACTATCGATCGATCTAACGCTGTGATAAGGAGCGTGTAGGATGGTCGTTTTGACAGTAGTCTTTGTACAGTAGTGTAAGGAAGTGAAGTTTGCCCCTACAAACAGCAGGTGGCGATATTGTTCAACTTTGGAAGGAAAATGTAGGCATAATGGACAAACATCGTCCAATTAATCCAGGAGATTACTCATTCTCAGTTTCAGTTTTTCTTGTACATTTGTAAATGGTTTGCATGCATACAATACAAATCAATTGTTTTAAGTAACTCAAGCTGTCTGATGGATTAGTTAAAGTTCAAAGGAAATATCTCAGTGAAGAAGTTGAGAGGGACATGAGAAGATTAAGAATACTCACTTTAAATACCAGCAACTCAAAATGTGTAGTATTTTACCACTGAGTGTCATCATTAAATTGTTTTTTGTTCTTTTACTTCATCTTTTCCACACTCTGGAAGTCCCTCCGGCCATCTCTGATGTCAAAGCTCTGGAGCGCTGAAGGTCAAAGGTCAACCTCAGGCCCGGACTGAAGGATCATGCATGATTCACAAAGACTGCTTTGTTTTCTGTGTTCAACGTGGTTTTCTTCAAGTTTCTCTGATTTGCTGCATGTTTCATATGTACAATGGACAAGGACTATTTCAAAAGTGCAGCAGAAAATAACAACTTTTGTTTGACACTTTTTTGGGTGAAATGTTTTGACAACTACGGGATTCATTTCCATTAAATGTTGTACAAATATTTATATTCTTATCAGGATCATTTGTAATAAAGTTCTTGATACTCATATTTAATTTACCTTGATTATCAGGTCCAAAGTATAATTGTCCATTACTTTGGAAAGCAGCAGAAAAAAGCAGAACTGAGTACACTTTTATACGGGTTTAATTTATCGCAACTCTCAAAATATACAGTTACTTTTATTCAAATACGATATTTTTCTTATATCGTGCAGCCCTAACCTACAGCAGTAAATGCAACTCACACATTAATGCAGCAGTTAATATAAATCAAAAACATAATTTGTAAAGTTAAAGCAAAACTTACTAGGAAAATTGCTAGTAATACTTTTTTACTTTGACTTAAGTAAGGTTTTGATTGTAAAGCGTTTACTTCTAGTGGAGGATTCCCAACTGTATTAGTTATTTTACTAAGGCAGATTATCTGAAATGTTCTTTGAATATAGAAAACATAAACTTTATATCTACTGGGAGTTGGGAACCTCATGTGTTTGAAAATATGTACAAAGCAGACTTGTAAAAAAAATTAGCGGAACCGTGTTGACGTGGAATACTGTTTTTTTATTGTCTGTACCAAACTTTTGTTTTGTTTTCAAGAGTATAACAAACACATTAAAGTCCAGTAAAAACTGTAGACGAGAGGAAAGAGACTCACAGTGAACACGCTTTTCGCCACTAATTGTTGAGAGGGAAAAGGTCAGAGGTCACACAAGCACCACCATTACCTTCAAAGCCACCATAAACACACACACCTGCATGACTTCAGCCAACATGCATTTTCAATGTAATCATGCACAAGTACTTCGAGATAATGTGGATCCCCAAAGCGCCGTTAAACGTCCTGAGCATGAACTCCTTCAGGCGTGTGTAACTGAAAAACATCCAGAAAAACTTCTTGTACCAAAGTTTGATACAACACACAGTCCTCCTCAGTAACACTTACAAGAATACATTTTTACAAGCAGACAGGAGTTAACAGACAACCTCAAATACTTGTCAGGAAAACCACCGACCCCTGACAGGTGATTTAATTTTAACAGTTTGTTTTAGGACTCTATAAAAAACAGACTTTTAGGGAGTTCGGAGGTTACATTGGCACTGGGTTCGGTACAGAGGCCACTATGCAAAGGGGGACATCCTTTTCCCCTTTAACATTGCATAACAAAAAGCACTTATTCACCAAGGCCCGACCAAACACACTGCTTGAGAAAATATAAAACAAATGGTAGGAAAGCTGCTGTTCTGGCTCACAGTATGCAGAGAGGAGGAAGTGTTTACGTCACGCAGTGTGTTTGTCCTCAGTGTGCTACGATTTGTCTTGGCATCAAAAACACCTAACAAACATGAATCGGTTTCCTCAGAAACTGGTTAATATGGAGCTTCAAAGTCATTAAATATGACTTTTGTAACATATGTGAGGCCTGGAGTGGATGGTGTAAGTAAAACAGCATTTGTAATTTATTGGGAGCATTTATTTTAAGTTGCATGTAGCACCAGCTTAGTGGGATTTTACCAATATCAAATTTGACTTTAACTGTTTAGTTTGGTTGCGTTTCTGCAATTAAAGCACCCTATGTAAACTATTTTGATAAACAATTGTTTTCATTAAGTCATGGTCGAACAAAACATTTCCAAAAAGCTTGAATTGTTAGGAATTCAACAAAAATATAAACCCAACATTTCTTTGGGTTGGACTGTTGGTCAAACAAAACATTCAACTTTCCAATTATCAGAAAATAGAAAATTGTGTTGCCACTTTTTAGATGAAAAAACTATCCAGCAGATTAAGCCATAAAACAATGTTTATAAATTGTAGAAACTCGTTAAAAAAGCTCAGTTTTAGCTGTGTCTCTTATCCAATAGTAGATTTTAAGTTAAAGTAAATCTTCTATTGACAAACTTTAACAGGGCCAAAGATCCTGACAGTAACAGCAGTTTTTGAGTACTGCACATTTGAACTTAAAAGATAATTTGTCTCGAGGAGGAAGGGAGATGTTTTCATTATTTCAGTGCCCAAAATGTTTTCATATGAAAATCAGATTATGGTGATTATGCTTTATCAGGCCTTCACCACAGCCAGATTCACTTACAGCTTATTTCTTTAGAATTTGAACGATAAGACCGAAGACGCCACAAACCATTTTGACTCGTCAGTATGATCAGTTTCCTGCTGTATACCCTAAGAACTGGGTGGCTGCGAGTAAAACAGGCTACAAGTCTGACAGAGTTCACACAAATTCGATGTAAAAGCTCCTAAATTAAAGCTGAAAGTCAGCCCGAACTTTAACCTCATAGTTGGATTTAAAACCCAAAATACTGCAAGTGTACTGCACTCTTGCAGCTCAGTGCACGGCCAAGGTTGTCTGTGCTTAGAAGAAAAGTAGCCCCTAAGTTCAAATAAGTCTTTGGATGTAGAGTAGAAAATAATACATTCTATAAAAAGTGAGCTTTAGACATTATTTCTAGAAGTCAAAGAAAGATGTTTCTTTTTAGATGGTCTTAATGAAGGCAACTATCAGAAAATACAACTTAAATACCCAGGCACCCTTTGATTATGTGCAACATTCAACCCTCACGGCAGTGTTTGTAAGATAGTGAAATTAAAACGCTTAAATACAAAATATCTGCATGTCTAAAATAACTGATCAGCTGATCCGTTTGTCCAAAGAGAAAAATGCTCAACTCAGCATTTCCTCTTTAATTTAATTCTGCAGAATATCACAAGTGTGCAGTAGTGATGCATTTTCTGCTCAACTTGTTGCAAGAAAAACAAATAATTTACTTGAAATCCTTGATTTAAAATCTGCTACTGCGAAACACCATAAATGTTTCTGCTTTATGAGCGTTTGATGGAAGACAGGCGCTCTGCTGCACCCTGACACATCTTTGTCCAAAAATACCTCCAATGTTGTTTATTTTCAGAACACATTAAAATATAACTAACAGTACAAACATTTGCCCAAACAGCAGAATCTTACATTAAAGAAAAATATAAAATAAGAAGTTATGAAAAATGTTTTCTTATGAAAGAAAATGCTATGAATAAGGCCATTGATAGTTTAGTACTCGAATAACACATTGCTGTCAACAGTTTGTGTGGAATTAACAGTAATGTGTTGTTTCAGATTAAGCACTTTTACAGAGTACAGTGGAACAAACTGGTCTTAATTCAGATCCACAATATATCATATTATTAGTATTAAAATTGGTCAATCAAGGAGTGGAGATTGGAAAAGAAAAGAGGAAGACGACACCTGTCTTGCATTCCCAGAGAGGAATATGCCTTCACGGTGGCAACTCATTGATCGTGCAATTATTATTTTTTTTTTTAAGTTTCAGGGTGAAAAAAATATCCAACTTTAGCAATCAGCAAAGTATTCATTGATCAACCTGACAAAGCCTGAAAGAAGCACAGGAGCCACTGTCAGGTATTAGTAAGGGTCACTGGTATAAAACAGACCTACAGAACACCGTTGATCATACAGTCAACCGTTTTCCACTTTTTACTAATTGGCATGTTGATCAAAAGGCGGCCATCTCACATCGACACCCAGGTTGAGGGAGCAAAAACCTAAATCTTAAGTTATCGTGAGAAGTCAACTAAACCTTAACAGAAAACAGTTTTATAAAGCTGAGACAATGACGGACAGGTGCCTGAAAAAAGGTCAAAAGAGAGTTGACGGGAAAATGTGATAAAACAGTAGCATACATTTACAAAAGCTTCTGAAGCTCAACGGGACAAAATCAGGATGATGTCCCTGGTGGAAAAAAAAAAAGGCCATGAGAAGACCGACTGCTGCCTTGTCCCAGAC